GCCCACCCCACGGACAAGGAGAGGTGGTATCCGGAGGAAAAGGAGCTCCAAGGGTGGATGTTCAGGACTTATGCTGATGGGTGCCCTGGGAAATGGATATGGCAGGGGAAGGGCCGACCAACTGCCTTTCAATCGGGTGCCGAAGTCATAATCCAAGACGATCAGAAACAAAAAGGTGGACGGGGAGTCTCCCAGGGACCAGCAGGGAGGAGGAACAGTCACAGACACGTCTGACAGAATGCACAACAGACGAAATCTGGAAGGGAAGGTGCAAAGAAGCCTGAAACAAATAATAACAAGATAGACAAACAGAGTCAACAAAACAAACAGAGCAATGCACCTGGAACCTCGTTTGTCTCCTGCAGACCTGGCCCCGCATCCCCCCCCCATACAAGCCTACAAGCCCAAACGGGTGGTTGATGCAGACGTCCTGGAGACAAAGAAGACAGAAACCTTGGAGCTCGATAGAGATGGGGCTTAGGGGAATGGAGGAGGGCAGAATGCTGCTGGGAGACAAGAGAACCCTGCCACAAGAGGTGACACAGCTGCTATGCAGCATCCACCCAAAGGGGGGGGGGGAGAGGGGGGAGGAGGGGAGCACAATACTGTCGACAAACGCAACAGGCTTGCCTCAAAAGAGGCTGCAACTGCACAACAAGCCAGGGACAAACAACCCACCCCACCCCCAACTAACAGAATCTGTAACCCAGGTGGGACAGCAGCACCCGCCCGAAAGTTGCATGAGTGTGACAGAGGTGGATATACAAATCTATCAAAAGCAACAACGCCCTCCCCATTTGATGCACCGGCAGACCGTGATGACCACCCCACCTGCAGAGGGACGAGCGAACACTGTCACAAACAGTGACACAACTGCTACACAGAAATCACATGGAGGAGAGAGAAAGGGGGGAGGTGGGGAGCTCAACACTGTTGCCAAATGCAAGAAGTCAGTCTCAAAAGAGGCTGCAACTGCGCAACACACCCAGAGCCTTGTCCCGGACCACCCACCCCCACCCCAACCAACGGAATCTGCACCTCACGCGAGTCTGCAGCACCCACCTGAAGGAAGTATAACTGTGACAGAGGTGGATACACAAGTCCACCAAAAGCAACGAATCCCTCCCCTCTTGACGCGCTACCAGCCTGCGATGGCCGCCCCACAAGCAGAGGGGCCCGACGACGCCCATGCTGCTCAACAATCATAGCAGGGCAGGGGACCCACTGTGACCAAGGAGCGGCCACCTGCACACCGCCCGGGGCAAGAGTGCCGACTATCTCTACCACCGGTCCAAGGACCCGCAGTGACCATAGATTGGCCACCTGCGCACCCTCCAGAACAGCAATACCAGCTATTTCCGCCACCGGCTAAAGTCGGCATGAAGGACGGCAATGACAACACACGCCTAGTAGCCGTACCGGCCCAGATACCGTAGACCTCGAACTCCAAGCAAGGGATAACATCAACATCGACACGAGCAGGGGCTCATGCGGGAATCCACGAGGGCACTGTGAAAGGGCTCAAACCGCAGGGCGTATGGCTAAAAGCCAACTCCCTTATCAATAAGATCAAAGGCGCAGCCTTTGCCCAACATTAGGACCCGCCACTGGCCAAACATCAAGAACATCCCCTTTACAAGCCACAAGACAGCCAGCCACCAACATGCCAACTGGGTCAGGTAGAAACGGGGCACCCGCAAGGGGGACCCCCCGTAGTAGGAGGGGCGGCACAAGCGACACAGCCCGGAGAACCACACAGTCAAGTCCTGACAGCTACTACACTGCCAGCCGCCAGCCGCCAATATGACGGAGGTCATTCCACAGGTGACAGGGGAGAAAAATTTCCTGGCCCCCAGGCTGCCCTGCCAATCTGTGCAGGATGCCTCACGGACACGAAGACTCGAGCTTGAATTCGAGGAAGAAGGTAAAATTGCTGGGCAAGAGATAGAACCTGAGATCGTGATGCAGCAGCAGCTGCCACAACAGCAAGGACAGTCACTGTCTTAAGCAAAGCAACAACAACCACAACAGCAGCAAGAACAACAACAGAGGAGCCTGCAACAACACCGAACACAACGTGAAAAACAGCAACTGCAACAGGACTGCCAGAGGCAGGAGCGGACATTCCAACAGCAGCACACCCAAGAGCAGCAGCGTCAACAACAACAACTGCAGCAGCAGCAGCAGCAAGAGCAACAGCAGCAGCGGCTGAATGCACATGAACAGCAGCTACGACAACAACATCAGCAGCAGCAGCTAGAGCAAGAGCAACAGCAACAGCGGCCGAAAGCAGAGGAGCACGACCAGGCTCAAGCGCTTCAAATTCACCAAGCGCACCAGCAGAGGCAACTGCAACAGACGTGGCAACAGCAAGTCCAGAAAGAGCACGCTGCACAACGCCAGCGACAAGTGCAACTGCAAGAACAACAACACATGCTGGCACAGTAACAGCAACAACAACAACAAAACATGCTGGCACAGCAGCACCATCAACAACAGCAAGCCCAGGTCGCACAGCTGCTCATCCAGCAGCAGCAGCTGCCACAGATGCAGCAACAACAAGCCCAAGCAGAGCATGAGGCGCAATGCGAACGCCAAGTGCAAATGCAATTGCAGCAACACATGCTGGCACAGCAACAACACGAGCAAGCCCATGCAGCGCAACAGCATTTACAACAGCAACTGCAAGTACTGCCGCAGGCCCAGCTGGCACAATACCACCCACCATCAGCAGCACCAAAAGAGGGTGCCACAACGTCACCAGCAAATCTTGCAGCACCTCCACCTGCAGTGGCAACAACAGCTATGCAGCCAACAGGAGTTCATCCTGCAACAACAACAACAACAGCAACAGCAGCAGTCGCAGACATACTGGCACCACGAGACGGGAAAAAAAAGAGAGGCCACGACGTGCCTGACTGAACTACTGAAAGATGCCAGCCCGACTTTCAACTGCATTTCAAACTCCGGCCCTGAATAAGCTAAAACGAAGTTTGAAATGCAATTTGCCAATTACAAACTGCTTTCGTGACTGCGCCTAGTTACCTGAAGAAAAAAAGAAAAAACAAAGAACTTCAAGAACAGATATTCAGAAGACACAGCATAACTATATAAGATCAGCTGAATATATGAACAAAGCCTATATTACTCTGCTGGTTCCCGGGCAGCGCAGCTGGGGGAAGGTCGCCCGGGTACCCTCTCGGGCGGCCCGGGGCGGGCAGGGTCCGGGCAGGGTCCGGGCAGGGTCCCAGGCGGTCCCATCGCATGATATTAGAAAAATAGTTTAAAAAAAAAAAAAAAAAAATCCGAAAGAAAAAGTATGTCGTGTAAAATTGCAATACAAACAACGTTTGGCTGAGGACCACCTCGGAATTCCTTGTTAACTTCAAGATAAAAAATAAATGAGAAAACATGAGTCGAGATGTACCCTTTTAAACCCCTTTGGTCACTGTTTATACCCCCCAACCCCCCCTGGATGACCCATCACCAAAATCCAAATTAAGAACGGATTCTGACTGCTTAGGCCAAGCGCATTCGTAGCCTGACGTCTTTGTGTTTTTCTTTGGGATCCTTGCCTATTTTTTTACCCATGTGGTTTTGTCGGGCGCCCTTTCTGCCCAACTGGCCTGGCTATGCCTGGCATGCCAGGCCAGACGACGACCCAGCATAGCTATAGTATCACCAAAAAGAACTATTTCCAAAGTCAGAAACCATGCCCACTCTCTTTCAAAGCAGGGAGCAGACTACGGCCTCACAATGTAAAGAAACAGCCAAGTCATCAGGAATCGCACCTTATTTTAGTTCACGTACATTTAAGAAGTGCACAGGAAGCACACAGCAATCACTTTATTTATGAAAGGGGAAACTACGCGGGAGTCACAAAAAGAGTTTCAGAATACACTTCACATGACTTCAGGCAAAAAAGGGTTTCAAATTGCACTCTGGGAAATGTATACAAGCTATACGAACGAAGCGCAATACGACTTGGAGTTCGTTTTCTGTGTTTCTCCATGAACGCATGGAAGAGGGGGGGGGCGGGGAGAGGAAGGCTTCCGGGCGCGATTTTGCCGCCTGACAAGGAACCCGGATCTTGATGATGAATTAGCATGGACAGGTCTCATCCTAGTTCGAGTAGTGGGGGATGAAAAGGACAGGGTGGGCTTATGAAATGGCAACCCCCCTCTGTCTGCTCCCCATCTACCCGGTGGAATGGCAGTGGTATGGTGCTAAGCCGCTAGCGCTGTGGAAATTCACAGTCAAGGAATGTTATAGGAAAATCCATAAGACTGTGGACACCACTGACATCATCAAACACAGATGGCAGTGGGATGCCTGCCTGGACGAAATAGAGCTACAGCTATTCAACCGGTCCCACTATACCCACCTGATGCCAACATTTCAGTGAGCGCTCGAATGGCAGATAATCTACCTGCCCAATTGGGTGTTGTCCAGATCACAACTGGAGCAGGAGGTACTGCCACCCATCTGCTCCGACTGTGGCTGCCCAACTGGGTGGTGTCCAGATCACAAATGGAGCAGAAGGGGGTACTGTCACCCATCTGCTCCTACTGTGGCTCATCAACTCAACAGTAGATCGCAGACCTGGAACACTGCCTGCTAGACTGCCCAATGGGAGGACAGATTTGCCAATGATGGAGTGTGGACTGGCATCACCACACTGGCTCCAACCTTTCATGGGACTCAGCGACAAACCTGCTGGGCCGCCTGTCCAAGGCCCCTTCAATGAGGACCCCCTTCCAGCTTAACCTTTTTAGATACACTCGGCTGGAAGTCCTCATGGTGGCCTGGCAAGCCTGCTGCTCCCATGAACGGAAAGAACACACCTTTAACGACCATTTCGTCAAAATGGACATTTTTTACTTTTTGAACGAAATTGAAACCGAGTTTTTTGGCCGAAAACTCGCCAAAATTTGCTGTTCCTGAGGGTCAAACGCTGGACCCCCTGGCTGTACAGAGACCTAGCTTGAGACCAGGCACCTCCAGGCAGGACTGCTTGGAGGTACCTGGTCTCAAGCTAGGTCCATGTACAGCCAGGGGGTCCAGCGTTTTACAAACGCCGGACCCTCAGGAACAACAAATTTTGACGAGTTTTGGGCCAAAAAACTCGGTTTCAATTTCGTTCAAAAAATAAAAGATGTCCATTTTGACGAAATGGCAGTTCTTTGGCTTCCTCCAAGCTAAACAGCATATTATTGACACCATAAGAATGAGCATTCAGAAAGCTTGGACACAACTTAAGGCAGCCCTAGCAACAACAACAGATCAGACACAAAAAGCGGAACAGGTTGCCTCCTTTCAGGAAACATGGCTCGACCCAGATAGACGACTTGGGGAACTGCAAGATACACAGCACCTACGCTGGCAACCGTGGTGGCAGGACGGGTACCGGTGCCAATGACGACCCTTGTCATCCTTCCACCGACCTCTGGCAGGGGAGCCCATAATGTATCTACCCTCCGCCAACCTGTCTCCACCGCCGGCAGCAAGCCACAACCGAACACAGCCCCAGCCCAGCCTACCTGGGGAGCAAGATGGGCCACCAACAACGGCCTCCCCTTTGCCAACCCCCCTGCCTCCCCAGTCCCTGGCCCCTCCCCTGATACCTGGCATGCTCCATTCATCCACCCCACCATCACCCCTCTTCCCCAAGCTCCCTGCCCCACTCACTCCCCCCCTTCCACCCCAACTGGCGGACATCCCCCCCCCCCCCCCCCTCCCCCCCCCCCCCCCCCCCCCCCCCCCCCCCCCCCCCCCCCCCCCCCCCCCCCCCCNCCCCCCCCCCCCCCCCCCCCCCCCCCCTCTCCTCCACCTCCGCTGCTCTCAGTAACCCCCGGGGAAGACCCTTCGCCCCCTATGTGCTCCCTCTCATGCCCCCAGCCATGTCTTCTCTGCTTTTCAGAAGACCCGGCCAGGCAACAAGCAGAGTGTTCTCAAGTCACCACAAGCAAGGCCCTGCAGGAGCCTGGGTCATTGTAAAGTGGCAGCCCCACGGGCGGCCAAAGTCAGTCGGCCCCCTGAAATTCGGAAGATTGAGTTCTAGAACTGTTAGGGAGAGGTGCTTTGGGGTTTTCCTCTATCAAACGCATCGTGAAAAATTAGGGTGCCTGAGTTGACCCCTAATTTCCCCTCAATCGCCTACCAGTACTAACCTTTGGATTTTGACAATCGGGAGCGTCACTTCTTTTTGTTTTTCTTTTTTTCTTTTTTTCATCCAGTGTCCGTATACAGTGATGTGTGGTTATGTCCTACTGTGCATCCAATACTGTCTGTATATGTGCATCAATCAATATATGTCGCATGAAGGGAGAACCCTATCCACCTTATCTACCGTATCTCCATAACGAGCAGGGGCATTGAGCCCAATCCTATCGATCAAATCAAAACATGAAACCCTAACAATGATGACTGGTCCTGATGTTTCTTTTTTCTGCCCATTCCAACCCTGTTTCCGTACCAGCTGGCTATTGAACGAGAGATGTGCGCCGCCTTTGCGCAGCATTTTCTACCCCAACCAGATTGCTTCCCCAGAAGGAAGAGGCTCCGCTGAAACAACACTGCGCTAGCGCTAGCGCCCCGATGCCGCCAGACCAGCAAGGCCGGGTCTGCCGGCTAGACTAGTGCCTGGGGGAGGGAGTTCCTCAGCCGCTAGGCCTGTGCGTGCGCCCGGCGGAAGCGAGTGACGTCCTGATTGACACGTGGCGGCTGCTGTTGGTGACGTGGGTGTCCCGCGACGTGCAGACAGGGGCAGCACCAGCTGTGAATTTGTTGAAAAAACGTGATTGCGGAGCAGTGGTATTAGCTTTTGACATCAACAACGACGGGAGAGATGGACACGGCGACGATGTCTGATGGGGGGCTGTGGGAAACCCCTCCTGCCCTGCAGCCCGTGCAGGCAGATTCTGCTCTGTTCATTGTGACCTTGTATAAACAGCAGCTGGAGGAGATGCACGCGTTGCTGAGTCAATAATATGGCAACCTACCAGATGACATCTTGTAGGAGGGAGAGGGGATCTATGATGGGTGGGAGGACGAACTGTATGCGCAGATCTCTCTTTGACAGTTGGATATGAACGATAGAGCACAGGCGATGACTGCCCTACACGAGTGTGCTGGGATGCTGACGCAGGTGAAGGACATGTTTGCCGGGCTTTTAGCTAGGAGAGACGTCGGCGGTCAATCGAGTGAGTTGCTCTCATCTGAAGGCCAGGATAGCGTGACATGGACAGCATCAACATCATCAACAACATCAACAACAACATCTACAACAGTGTCATCACCAACTCTTCCACTTTGTCTCCCGAAACAGCGGCCATTTGCTCAGGCGTGTGATGAATTGGGTGATGATCACATGGTGTGAGCATTGTTTGGCTGTCAGTCTCAGTCTGTTGTAATGAATAATGGAGATTCGACGGACGTGGGAGCGGCGATCCGGGCGCTTGCTCCGGAAGTTTTGTTGACATCTGTGTCACAGTCTTACCAACAGCCCGCCGAAGATCAAAAGGCATCATCATTGTGTGACAACGGTGCTTTGGCGGAGGTAGGTGATGCGGTTCCCCCGCTTGCTCTGAAAGGTTATTTTACAATTGATTCGTCATCTACCTAGCAGTCTGATGCGGGCAATGACATCATGTGTGATGACTTACCGTACTATGACGATGATGACAGGGTTTTTTTTTTTTTTCCGCAGGGGTATACAATCCCCCCCCAGAGGTTATACTAATGAGCTGCGGCGTGGTACAATCATGGGGTTGGCTCAGCTAGTTGACCGCAGGGAGGGTTGGATTCGATCGGTTTGGCATGTGTGTTTTGATTGTTTCACTCCTGCGTAAAATATCACCTGTCGGAGTCCCTCTTTGACCTATGGTTTCCCCCTGCTCCCTCTCTGTTGCCTGTCCCGACTGTCATATTCTGTGGCTGGCACTGGCTGGGGTGCACGATGGAGAGGAGCGCGAGGAAGGTCTGTCGTTTGGGTGGTGGATAGGGGGAGGAGATAGGACAATCAATAAGGGATGGGCAGAACTGTGATTGGCGAAATGTAATAATAAAAATAATGATATATGTGGCAGATGTTGCTAACCACTGCCATAAATTTG